ATGCCTGCCCCAGGGAGGACAGCTCCCCACCCCCCACCCCATCCATCCTCTCCCTCTGGGTGAAGCCAGGGGTCATCTGCATGAGAAAGGGGCCTGCAGGCTGTCGGGCTGGACGCTGTCCTCTCTAGACCCCATCCCCCACCTTCCTTTTCGGGGCCAGAGAAGTACAACCAGACCCTGTGCGTGTGCACACGTGTGTATGTGTGCTGTGTGTGTGAGGACCCAGCTGTGTTGCATGAAGGTGAATGTGTGTGTGAGGTGCCCAGTGTGTATGTACACCGGTGAGTGAGTGACACCCGGTGTGCACGCACAGCTGACACCAGTGCCCACGCAAACTTGAGTGGGTGTGTGCGTGCCTGTGTGACACCTGGAACACCAGATGTGTGTACATGTGTGTGTAGTTGCATGTTGCTGTGTGTGAGCCCAGAGTCCAGGGGACTGATTCCTGGTTCCAAGCACCCTCTCTATTCCTTTGTGGGGTGTGAGCCGCCTGGGCTGGTCTGGGCTGAAAGATTTTGAGTCTGAAGATCCCAAAATAGCTTTGGTCGCCTGAATTCCCCTCCCCCAGCTGGGTCTGGGGCCTCAATGGCCCTTTGTCTCTGAAGACCGCCAGCCCCGGTGGGGGGCTCGGGCTGGGGCTGGGCTGGGAGGGACCAGGCAGCCTGGCGGTTCCCTTTCCCCCAAGCCGGGGCGTGCAGGCTCCAAGCCCCACCCCAGAGTTGGCTGGTTGGCCAGCCCCTCGTGGGCAGATCCCAGGGTCCCTGCCAGCCCCCGCTGGGTTCCCTCTGATCCCAGGCTTACCCTCCCCACACCCTGGTTTCTTCCCCGCCCTTTTCACGGAGCCCCCCATTTGCATGGCAGCAGCAAACAGGGCCTGTGGGTGTGTTCCCCGTGGGCCCTGGGCACCGTGGTGTTGTCTGGGGGGCTACAGAGAGAAGCAGATGGGAAAGTGTGTGACCCTGGGCTCCCGGCCAGTCTGTGCCCTGAGATAAAAAGTCAGACCCTGCCCTGGGTGCTCCCAGTCCAGGGCGGTGCCCGAGGAGCCACAGGCACTATCAATTGGTGTGGGCAGTGGCAAGGTCCAGCGAGGTGAGGGGCGGGGTAGGTGGGAGGACCCCGAGGAGAGGGAGGCAGCTGAGGGCTAGGGTCGCCACTGGCTGGAGGAGTTGTTGCTCTGAGTCCGCCTGGTATTGGGTGGGGGAACCACTCTGATTGGCGTTTCCTGCAAGGTTTTATTGGAACCTTGGGTTCCAGGGCTCCAAGAGTTTGAAGACCTCCACTGGGGGTGATGGGGACCCTGACGGGGGGCTGACCCCGTGTGGGGTGTGGCGTTAGTGTGCCTGCTGAAGGACGGAAAGGAGTCGAGATGGACCTGGGCGCGGGCAGCAGGTGGCTGCCCGTGAGGAAGGTTGAGTGTGTGGAGGAGCCCTAACAGGAGGGAGTGATGGGGTGGGCCCCCCCGGCCTGTTTGTGAGGCAGCTGGCTACCTGCTGGGTGGAAGGCCCTGGGGGAGGGGTCTGGCTGGAGGCACAGAGGTAGGTGGGTGTTGCCCTGCGGTGGTGATGCCAGGAAGGGTCTGGGGAGAGGTCGGGGTGCGGTTAGGACTGAGATGAGATGTAAGAGGACCGAGGTGACACTGGTGGCCTGCCACAGCAGTTTGGCTGGAGGGAGACCTTCGGACAGCAAACACAGACGCCCCTCCCAGGGCCGGCGCTCCGTGTCCGAGCGTGAATGTGACTGTGGGTGTGACAGGATGGCTGTGACTAAGGGTGGGGGTGGAAGGGGATGCAGTTAATGTCTTTTCAGCTGGGTAGGGAGTCAGTGGAGGAACCGGCCAGGAGGGACGCTGGGATGGGGCGGGGTGTGGCCTGACACCAAGAAGAGAAGGGACCCTGTGCTGGGAGACTGTGCTTTGTCAGTGTGAGAAACGTCCAAACCTGTAGAGCGTTTTTGAGTTTATTTGAGCCAAACTGACGTCAATTGCAGGGAAACAAAGTCTCAAAGGATGGAGAAAACGCTCTGGAGTGAGTTTCACAGCTTGTTTTGTACGTTCGAGCCACAGAATCACGGGAGGGGCGTGGGGGCTGGGTAACATGAAATCCGGGCGGAGACAGCAAAGCGGGCAGCCTGTGTGGTTGGGCAGCGTCAGACGGAAAGACACGAACTGTACGTTGGTGTGCAGGCAGTGGAGTACATTCACAGCACACGGAGAGGGTGTCATTGTCCTGCTCTGGGCGTGCCCTGAGGGGGCTATAAAGGATAGTCTCTGGCCTCTCAAAGGTCTGTTATCTGAAACGCAGGGTGACCTTTGTCACTGGGAGCTACGGGCGGAAGCAGGCCCAGGCGGTGACGCCGTGACCCGGTTTAGCTGGGAGTCTAGGATCTGACCGTCCTGGGCGTCTCTCCATCTCGGAGCTTGTCCGCCGCCATGCAGGCCTCTCCTGAGCTTGTCAGGGTTAGTGTGTGGCCTGTTTTTCCTCCACAGCTTCCTCGCCCCCACCCCGGCCCCCAGAAAGGGCCGTTGGACTCTAGGAGGGGCCCAGGGCCGTGGCAGGGGCCTGTGGCCAGGTCCAGGATGGAGGGAGCCAACATGGGTGGGTGTGGCGGGGGCACTTAGAAGGTGGAGGGTCGGGGTGCAAGTGAGTGAACTGTGGTCATGGAGGTGCTCCCCTTTGGGATCCCGGCCGCCGAGGGTGGGATGTGAGTGGTGAGGACGTGGGGGCAGGGCACGCGTCCCCCACACCCAGCAGGCCTGGAGCTGGGGGCCTGACATCTGGGCGGGGCAGGGGCCGGGGAAGGTACCTCCGGGGGCGAGGCGGAGCCTTCTGACCACGCCCAGCCCTGCCGTGACCTCTGGGCCTCGAGTTCCAGGGGCGGCCGCTGGGGGCGCTCCAGGCTCGCGGGCCGACCGCCGTGAGTCCGGAGACTGTTGACTGACCCTCATTTACATGAACTCATTTGCATGCTCCACCGGCCGGAGCGGAGCTGGGGGCGCGCGCGTGGGTGGAGGCGCTGCTGGCGATTCCCAGGCGACGTGGGCCCGCCGTGGCCACCTCCACCCTCTGCATCGGACTCAGGCCACTTCCCACCTTATGTGTCTGTACTTGAGGGTCCTACACACGGCCAGGGTGGGGCAGCTGGACAGACACGCACAGGCCCACAGTGGCCCAGCAGCCCAGAATGGGGCCCCTCGTGCAGGCCCGAGCCCCCGAGCCGCCCCCCGCCCGCCGCCCCGCGAGGACTCAGACCTCACACACTGCATCGCCCAGCCCAGCCCAGCCCAGCTCGTGGGAGCAAAGGGAACCTGTCCCTGACCGGCCGCAGCCCCAGCTCCTACCCCTCCCGCCCCTGATCGCGTCCCACTCACCCTTCACCCGCCCCCTCCCCAGCACCTGCCGCCTACTCTCCTCTCGCCCACCTCTGCCCCAGCCCCCACCCCACCCCCATCTCCTCCCTCCACTACCTCCTGCCCGACCCCGCGCCCCCGGCCCCGCCTGCCCCGATCCCTTTTGTGCCGCCCTCCGCCCTCCTTCCGTAGCCGCCGCCGATCTCGCTGCGCCGTGAGCCGCGACTCCCGGAGGACGCCGGGGTCCCAGAGGCGCATCTTCCTTTGTCTCTGCTCCGCCCTCCCCAGCGCCCCTCGCCCCACACTCACGGCCTCAGCCCGCCCGGCGCGGACGAGGGCGAGGGGAGCTGGCGCTGCGCGCCTGGAGGCGGGAGCCAGGCGCGGCTCTGCCTCTGCCTCTGCCGGGCCGGCTCTTTATTCTCTGCCTGTGACGCGCACGCTCCTCCCGCTGCTGCCATCGCGCGCCTCTGCCAGGGACCCGGCAGCCAGGACCCTCCGCGCCCTCGCCCCGCCTCTGCCTCTGCCAGGGGCCCTGCGGGCCTTTGGGGGGGCGCCCCGCCCCTCCCCACCCAGGGGCCACCCGCTGGCAGCCTCCTCGGACAGGCCTCTCCGGGGTAAAGCCGCTGGCAGGACAGGACTGAAAAGGATCGGGAAGACAGCCCTGCAGGGAGCTGCTGGCGACTCTGGCCGGCCGCGGGCATGGGTTGTGGACAGCAGGGGTGGCCACTGGCCCTCAACCGCTCCTCTGCCTCCCTCTGAGCCCCAATTTAGGATTTTACCGCGGTGGAATTCTGCATACCGCCCTCATGAGCCTGGAGGGTGTGGAGGGGGCTGGATGCTCCCAGACTGTGGCTGGAGCTGAACTTTGAGAACACAGCTGCTGTCAGCTGTCCCAGGATTTCCAGGATGGGGGGAGTCGCCCTGTGAGGCCCCCACACCCCAGGAGTAGAGGCTGCGGAGCCCAGGCCATGCCTCCGCTAGCGCTGGAGCGGGACCCGCAGCGGCAGCATCGGGTCTCGCTGCTGGTGCGCTACCTCATGATCCCCTGCAACGCCTGCCTGATCCTGCTGGCCACGGCCACGCTGGGCCTCGCCGTGCTGCTCCTCCTCAACGGCTGTACGTGGCTGCGGGTGGCCACTGGCCGCCAGGGGACCCTGCTGTGTGGCTGAGCTCCCCGCCCCAGCTGCCAAGGACTAGGGGGCAGGCAGGATCACCGAGAGGTTGCCAGCTGGGGTGAAGCTCAGAGGAACCACCTGCATCTTCTGGGACAGGATGGCCATTCTGGATTCCTGGGTCCCTGGACGCCGCTCCTTGGGGTCACGGGGGGCTGACCATCCTCCTGAGTGGCAGGAACAACTTTCTCGGGGGCTGGGGAGGAAGGGGCCAGGCGGCTATGCTAGGAATGGGGCTGTGGCAGGTTTGGACTGGGCTCACCTGGCCAGTAGGTAGGTGGCTGCCACAGGCCTGCAGCCGGAGGGCCAGAGACGAGCACGGCCTCTGCCTTTGTCCACCCCCAGGCCTCAGGGCTCGGGGTGGGGCCAGGGCAGGGCAGGGCAGGGCAGCAGGAGTGACCCCACCAGGTAGGGTGAGGGGAACAGGCTTCGGAGGGGCCTGCTCCTAGGGGCCTAACTTGGAGATTTGTTTTCTTTTTCAGACAAACCTGGGACCCACTTCACACCGGTGCACCTGACCCCTCCAGATGGTGAGTGCAGGCATCCGGTAGTGACAGGCTGAGGTGGGGAGTCCATGCCTAGAGGGTGGTGGAACTTTTGGGGTCAGGAGCCTCTCTTGGGGTATGTCTGGAGCAGGGAGGTGGCTAGACAAGGGACAAGGAACTCCTTTCCAGGGAGTCCACAAAGCTGGGCTATGGAGGGCGCATGGGTTTGAGTCCCTGGGCCCGGCAGCCCCTTGGCCAGCCATACATACAAACATGGCTCTCACTTCTCTGGGAGTAAGGCCTGGAGCCCACAGGTTGTGAGATGGTCAGACAGGCGCAGAGGGTGGGAGCTGGGGGCCTTGGCGGGACCGACAACACCTGTCTGGGAAGGGGTTGGGTTGGAAGGTCTGTCCTGGGACTGAGCACGCTGGGGCCTGGCCTCTTGGGGCCTACGGGTGTGAGAGGGGAGATAGGAGGCTGTTAGGGCGGCAGGAGTGGCCTGCGTTCGGGGAGGAGGCTCCCTGCTGGTCCAATACCTGCCCAGGTTCACGGACGTCACAACAGGGCCTGTTGGTTGTGGGATGGGCCATGAGAGGAGGCAGGTCTCTGCTGGGCTGGGGCAGGTGCCCAGGACCGTCTCCCAGAGGCTATGGGCAGGTTCCTAGGGCGGCTTAGACTTATAGATGGGGCTCCATGGGAGGACACCCTCCCCTCTCTCGATGTCCTCGCCTCCTCTCCTGATGCCTGATGCCTGAGGGCTGGTGTGCCTCCTGCCCTTTACACACCTTCCCACAGCTGCACACACAGGCCCCAGACCCGCATCCGATCCCATTGCACACTTGTCATCCCTCCCAGGCACACCAGGCACACACACTGCACATTTGTGTTTGCAGGCGGGATGTGGGGTGTCCTCTCCATCCCCAACCACCCTAAGACCTGGAGGGGAGTTTCATATACGCATTCAGCGGGCGGCTATAAGAAACCACCCCACCTCCAGCATCGCACACTGCGGGGGGGCCATGGGCCTGCAGGGAGTGAGACTGGTGGGCATGGAGTGGCCAGAGACAGGCTCCTGCAGGAGGCTGGGTTGGGGCAGGGTCCCAGGGGACCGGTCAGGGGCACAAGCCCAGGGGTGTCTGGGTGCTCCCCCTGCATTTATGGGCGGCAGTTGGCATGGTGATGAGAGCTAATACCCGGATGCACGCATGAGCGTGGATGTGTGATTGCACCTGCCTGTGCTCGTGGTCTCTGCTTGTGCAGCTTTTATGTCCAATCAAGAACCTCGTCTTGAGACTTTATGCTCCCTAGTCCCATGGAGGTGCAGGCGCATAAATGGACAGTCGGGAAGCGGGCATCAAGGGGTGCACGGGAGCAACCCTCACCCCGCTGACAGCCTGAGCGTGGCCTCGGGGGACTATTTCAGCCTGGACGGGGGACGAGTCCATTATGCTCCAAACCTCAGCTTTGCCCAAATCAAATCACCGGATGCCACAGCTGCCCTGGAGACTGGGAGAGCCCCCCCCCCCCCCCGCCCTCCCCCCGCCCCCCGTCACAGCCGGGAGACCGCCCCTCAGGCTTTCATTCCGTGTGGGAGGTGGAAAGGCTGGGACCTGGGAGTCTGTGTGGGGCCTCAGCTCGATGGCCCCCCAGAGGCATCCTGTCCCCCCTCCCCACCCTCAGCCACCTCCAGTCCATAGCTACTCCCCGGGCACCGGTCTCTGAGATCTCCGGTTCCTGCCCCAGCCCCTGCCTTCCCTCCGTCCTCTGTGCACTGCTCCGGTGCCCAACGGCTCATCACCTTTCCCCCAGGGTTCTGTCGTGAGAGGCAAAGCAGATTCCTGGGCTGTGGAGGAAGGTGCAGGTCCTGGCAGGTCACCCAGACATAGGTGTCCTTGGCCAAGGGGTTGGGACTTTGGCAGGGGTCTGGCTGGACCCAGGTGACCAGAGTTGAGAAAGAGGCCTGAGCCCAAGGGCACCGACACGGCAGCTGGCCGAGGAGCCTGGGGTCAGTGAGGTGCCCAGGTCCTTGGCCATGGGGTCAGGACCCTGGGAGAGATCTTGATCAGCAGGTCCAGTGGAGGCCAAAGAGAACAGCCAATTAGACATCAGCAGGCGCCAGTGGTTTGGCCAGGGGTCCAAAGGGCTTGGGTGAGAGAGAGACCGAATATAAGAGGAGTGATGGGGGTGGTGAGGAAGGTGGACAGTGTGAAGAGGGGTCGTGGGTGGACATGGTGAGGTGTGGTTTGAGCCAGGGCAGGGAGGCCAACATAATGACAGTTCTTGTACCACAGTCGCCGTAGCTGGCAGCCTCAGCTGGGCACTGGGTACCCACAGCCTCTGCACGTGTTGGCCCGTTGAACCCACAACCCAAGGCAGGTCCCATGGGCTCTTTCACAGGAGGCGCTGAGACGTGGCCAGTGAGTGTGGATTCAGGGAGAGCCTGGCTCCTGGCTATGATGAGGGATCCGAGGTGGCCGGGGGCGGAGGGGCACGGTGTGGCCGCGGGAGGGACGTTAGTCTGTGGTGTCCACGCTGTCCCAGGCTCTGGTTCCGTCAGCCCATGCGGGGTGCCGGGGGAGACACCAGGCAGACATGCAGGAGCCGGGGGCAGGCGTTGCTGTGGCAACAGCAGCTCAGCTCCTTGTGCTCCCCGCCCTCCATAGAATTGAGGGTGCTTCCTCCCACCCTACTTCCTGAGTCTGCAGGGAGGTGATGGGGGACCCTCCCCCATCCCCATAACTTATTCATGCTAATTGGACCCAGTTAAATATTTATTAGGTCCAGACAGCTGTGGCCTTTAATGCCCCCCCCCCCACCCCTGCTTGCTGGGTGTGTAGTCCTGGGCGGGTGCCTGAGGAGTCCACCTGCCCCCTGCCCTCCGGACCGAGTTGCCTCCCCTGGGGCCTCCTCGCTGGGCTGCTGCAGAGGTTCCGTGACAGGACGTGTGCTGGGCACATGCAGCTCCCAACTGCAACGTTAAGAACTTAGATGTTTACAGAAAAAATGACGGGTCTGCAGACCCCGCCCCCCCCCCCCCCCCATGCTGGGCCGTCCTGGGTGTGAGGGGGAGGACAGTACTGAAGTGGGGCGCAGGAGGACGGGTGGGAGAGGAGGAGGCATGTGGGTGCCCAAGGGGCCCTGGGGAGAGATGCTCACAGGCTGGGAGGGCAGGAGGGCTAGGCACATAGAGCGAGGGCCTGGGGGCGGCTGGCCTGGGGGTGGAAAGAGGGTGGGCAGAGGCAGGGCCCACGTGGGGATGGTCCTGGGCTTGGGGGAAGCCTCCGGAAAAGCAGGAGGAGAGATGTGGGAAGATGGGAGCCAGGGGCAGCGGGGCGGCGCTGGGCCCTGGCCTAAGCCAGAGAGTGGAGCTGTGACCATCCTCAGGTCTCCCACCCCCTCCCCCAGCTGTGCCCTCAGGTGACCAGGAAAGGCAGGGAGTGGTCTGTGGGAGGTGGGTGGAGGCACGGGTCAGGGGTCGGTGGGCCAGGGCGGGGAGGGGGGTCACTCAGGTGAGGGCCTTTGTTCTGCTGGGGGAAGGCTCCTGGGCGGTGAGGGGGGCACTCCACCGGGGCCTGGGCCAGGGCAAGGCTGGGGCTGGTGCGGCCCCGTGGTGGGTGGGGGTGGAGAGGGCAGGGGACCTGTGAGTGTGCCCACGGGCATGCGTGTGTATGTGGCCATGATGGGCACATGTTTTTCTGTGTGCGTATGGACATGTGTGGCATGCATGTCCTTGGAGTTGAATGAATGAACCGTGTGGACGCTGGACCCTGTGCCCAGATGACTGAGCCGGAAGGGGGCTGGCAGGGCGGCTCTGACCCTCCTCGCCCGCCCGCCCCCGCCAGCCTGCCGCGGGATGCTGTGTGGCTTCGGCGCCGTGTGCGAGCCCAGTGCAGAGGGCCTGGGCCGAGCCTCCTGCGTGTGCAAGAAGCGCGCCTGCCCCGCAGTCGTGGCTCCCGTGTGCGGCTCCGACGCCTCCACCTACAGCAACGAGTGCGAGCTGCAGCGGGCGCAGTGCAGCCAGCAGCGGCGCATCCGCCTGCTCTTCCGCGGGCCCTGCGGTGAGTGGGGGCTGTGGGGGAAGGGGACTGTGGGGGAGGGGGCGGGGGCGGGCCCTGCGGTGAGTGGGGGCTGCGGAGGGGAGCACGGGGGCGGGGCGGTGGGGGGGGAGAAGGGGGAGTGCCAGCCAGTGTGACCCACCCGGCCCCACCTACAGGGCTCCGTGACCCCTGCTCCAACGTGACCTGCAGCTTTGGCAGCACCTGTGCACGCTCCGCGGACGGACAGACAGCCACGTGCCTGTGCCCTGCCTCCTGCCGGGGAGCCCCGGAGGGGCCCGTGTGCGGCACCGACGGCACTGACTATCGGGGAGAATGCCAGCTGCTGCGCCAGGCCTGTGCCCGCCAGGAGAACATCTCCAAGAAGTTCGATGGCCCCTGTGGTGAGCTGCCCGGGCTGCCCGGGTAGTGGCTCAACCTGCCTGTACCCACCGTCCCCTGCATGACCTCCGTGCGCCTGCCCCGCACCCTAACTGCGCCCTCCCGCCCCCAGACCCCTGCCAGGGTGCCCTCAGCGACCCGAGCCGCATCTGCCGTGTGAACCCGCGAACCCGGCGCCCCGAGGTGCTGCTTTCGCCAGAGAGCTGCCCTTCCCGGCAGGCGCCCGTGTGCGGGGACGATGGCGTCACCTACAACAACGAGTGTGTCATGGGCCGCACCGGGGCCGCCCGGGGAATCCTCCTCCAGAAAGTGCGCTCCGGACAGTGCCATCCTCGAGGTGGGGGCTCACCCTGCCTGTGCCCGCCTTCCCTTTATGCCTCTCGGGTCCCCACAAACCAGCTCCGGTGCCCATGTGTCCCCTGCGTGTGCCAAGATCAGGGCCGTGGCACCCCTGCCTCTCTGATCTCATTGACCCCCCACCCCCACCCCACCCCAGACCAGTGCCCAGACCCCTGCAGGTTCAATGCCGTGTGCCTGTCCCGCCGAGGCCGTCCCCGCTGCTCCTGTGACCGGATCGTCTGTGACGGGGCCTACAGACCCGTGTGTGCGAAAGACGGGCACACGTATGACAACGACTGCTGGCGCCAGCAGGCCGAATGCCAGCAGCAGCGTGCCATCCCCCCCAGGCACCAGGGCCCGTGTGGTGAGCACCGTGGGGGGGTTGTGCCTGGAGCAGGCTGAGCCCGCGTCGGTCCCTGCCGCCATCATCACGCCATCTCCATCCGAGTCACCTTCCTCCGGGGTGGCGGGTGAGGGGGGCTCTGGGTCTTGGCAGGGCTCTTCTCCGTCAGTGGCCTCTGCAGCCCCTGGGGCATGAGCAGCCTGCAGCCTCGGGTCCCCCCTGGGCGGAGCTGGGTTTTGCGGGGCCAGCAGAGGTGGCTCTGTCCATGGGTCTGTGCATCTCTGCGTCCGTCTCCTGTCTGTCCTTCCTTCCCTCTCGGCTGCACCTCTTGTGTCTTCCAGCCTGACCCACGGGCAGGAGGACGTGCAGCGCCTGCCGCCAGGAGCCCGCGGTCTGAGGTCTGCCCCAGCGTGCGGGGGGGTGGCTCGCTGCTGCCTGGCCGTGTAGCCCTCAGAGCAAGTGGACAGACACCTCCCCGTGCGCCCTGGGTCTGACTCTGGGCTGCAGACTCTTCCATCCCACAGAGAGGCCCCCACACGTGCATACGTGTCCCAGGGTGGCTGGGGTCAGGGTCATGGCCCCGGGGGTGCTGGGTGAGCCCGGCCCTCGTGTGGCCCACTGTGGGCCATCAGGAAGCCCCGGTCCTGAGGGCAGCCCCACCCCGCACGCCTGCAGGAGGCTGGGGCGTCTGGGTCTGTGTCCCTGTCCACGTCTGCTACGTGTCTGTCCCTTTCTCTGCTGCGTCTGTGCCTTGGCCCGTCTCCTGACCCTCTCTTCCCGCGCCATCCCCACCCAGGAGGGCCTGCTGCTCGGAGCTGGGGGCTTGTGCGTCCGTCCGCCCGGGGCTGGCGGGCCCGCTGAGTGCCGTGTCCTCCCCAGATCAGCCCCCGTCCCCGTGCATCGGGGTGCAGTGCCTGTTCGGGGCAGTGTGTGCCGTGAAGAATGGGGGAGCTGAGTGTGTGTGCCAGCACGTGTGTCCGAGGGTCTACAGCCCCGTGTGCGGCAGCGACGGGGTCACCTACGGCAGCGCCTGCGAGCTGGAGTCCGCGGCCTGCGTCCTCGGGCGAGAGATCCTGGTGGCTCACAGAGGACCCTGCGGTCAGTGGCAGGCAAGGGGGTCTTGCTGGGGGCGGGTGTCCCGGTCGCCATGGTGATGGAGCCTCCTCCCCAGACCGCTGTGGGCAGTGCCGCTTTGGAGCCGTGTGCGAGGCTGAGACTGGGCGCTGCGTGTGCCCCTCGGAGTGCGTGGCCCTGGCCCAGCCCGTGTGTGGCTCTGACGGGAACACGTACGCCAGCGAGTGTGAGCTGCATGTCCACGCCTGCACACGCCAGATCAGCCTGCGTGTGGCCTCAGACGGACCTTGCCGTGAGTGGGGGTGGGGGGAGCTGTGGTCCCTGCCTCTCCCAGCTGGGTCTGCTGACCTGCCTGGGTTTCGCCCTCTGCAGAGACCTGTGGAGACACCGTGTGCGCCTTCGGTGCCGTGTGCATGGCGGGGCAGTGTGTGTGCCCCCGGTGTGAGCGCCCCCCACCCGGCCCCGTGTGCGGCAGTGACGGCGTCACCTACCCCAGTGCCTGTGAGCTCCGCGAGGCCGCCTGCCAGCAACAGGCTCAGATCGAGGAGGCCCGGGCGGGGCCGTGCGAGCAGGGTAGGCGTGGCGCAGCCCGCGTGGTCTGTCCGGCACCGGCTCCGGCTCCGACCGGCTCCACACGGTGACCCAGCCCCTTCCCACAGCCGAGTGTGGCTCCGGAGGCTCGGGCTCCGGCGAGGACGGCGAGTGTGAGCAGGAACTGTGCCTGCAGTACGGCGGCGTCTGGGACGAGGACTCTGAGGACGGGCCTTGCGTCTGCGGCTTCAGCTGCCAGGGCGCCCTGAGGAGCCCGGTGAGGCCCCCCCCCGGGCGCTGGGTGGGCAATGAGGAGGGGCCACGCCCCCCCACTGACACCCCCCCTCCAGGTCTGCGGCTCCGATGGCGGCACCTACAGCACGGAGTGTGAGCTGAAGAAGGCCCGGTGCGAGTCCCAGCGAGAGCTGTACGTCGTGGCTCAAGGAGCCTGCCGAGGTGCGCGGCCCGCGGGCGCTCGAGATGTTTGCTGTTCCCTGCGTGTGCTTGTTCACAGATGTGTGTGCACACGGGTGTGAGGCACATGTGTGTGTGTGTGTGTGTGTGTGCGCGCGCGCGCCCCTGACCACCAGCAGCCCTGGGACGCATGTGCACCTGTGGGGTGGTCTCCGTGGGAGGAAGAGTCTGCAGTCCAGTCAGACCCAGGGCTGGACAGGTTCAGAAACACACTCACCCGCGTGTGTGCCTCTGGGTGTACGGTGTGTCCAGGGCGGCGTGCTCTTGATCTTTGGGTGTCCCGTGTGTTCCTGGTCCTGTGTGAACAGACGTGTTCCTGGATGTGGTGTGGGATCCTCGCCTGTGGCCTGAGCTACAGGCTCTGGCCCCAGTGGCAGAGGGGGACGGTGGGACTGGGAGCGGCTGAGATGGAGTGGCCAGGCCCAGGGGGGGTCCGCTCCACGTGGCGTCTGAACTCCCGCCTCCTCTGCAGCCCCCACTGTGGCCCCAATGCCCCCGGCGGTCCCCCTGCACTGCGCCCAGACACCCTTCGGCTGCTGCCAGGATAACGTCACTGCTGCGCGGGGTGTGGGCCTGGCCGGCTGTCCCAGTGAGTCCCCCACCCTGGCCCTGCCCTCCAGTCCAGCCGAGCCCTGCACGGTGTGACTGTCCCACCCTGGCCTTGCAGGCTTGTGCCAGTGTAACCCCCACGGCTCCTACGGTGGCACCTGCGACCCGGGCACAGGCCAGTGCTCCTGCCGCCCAGGTGTGGGGGGCTTCAAGTGTGACCGCTGTGAGCCCGGCTTCTGGAACTTCCGTGGCATCGTCACCGACGGCCGGAGTGGCTGCACCCGTGAGTGACGAGCCCCACGGTCGGTCCTCAGCGGAGCCCTCCTGCCCGTCCCTGACGTTGCTGTGCCCTGGGTCCCCCCCTTGGGCTCTGGCCTACTCTCACCGGGCAGGGGCTGGGCTCTAGGGCCAGGGGGCGCCAGGCTCAGACCTCAGGCCCCGCCCCATCCCCTCAGCCTGCAGCTGTGACCCCCGGGGTGCCGTGCGGGACGACTGTGAGCAGATGACTGGGCTGTGCTCGTGCAAGCCTGGGGTGGCCGGACCCAAGTGTGGGCAGTGTCCCGACGGCCGTGGCCTGGGCCCTGCTGGCTGTGAAACAGGTGAGGCCTGGCCGGTGTGTGTGTGTGTGTGGGGGGGGTGCGGGTGGTGACCTGTGCTGGGGGTGTGGCCATCACGGAGGCAGCTCCTGAGCCAGTGGGTCCCCTGCGTCTGTGCCAGACTCCTCGGTGCCCAGGACCTGTGCTGAAATGCACTGTGAGTTTGGGGCCTCCTGCGTGGAGGAGGCTGGCTCCGCCCACTGTGTGTGCCCAACACCCACCTGTCCGGAGGCCAATGCTACCAAGGTGAGGGAGGGGGTGTGCGGAGGGTGGCGGGTGTAGGGCGGGGAGGGCACCCCAGCATCCTTGCCCTCTGCCCAGGTGTGTGGGTCGGACGGAGTCACCTACGGTAACGAGTGCCAGCTGAGGACCATCGCCTGCCGCCAGGGCCTGGACATCTCGATCCAGAACCTCGGCCCGTGCCAGGGTGAGGCCGCCCGCGCCCAGCACTGACCAGGAAGGCCCGACCTGCCCTGACGTGGCCCCCACCCAATTCTCCCCTCTCCTCTCCCCACAGAGGCTGTGGCTCCCGGCGCCCGCCCCACACCCGTGCCTGTGGCCACCTCGGTGCGCTACCTGAGTGAGGCACCCCCGCCCAGCGCCCTCCCCCTGGCTCCCGGCAGTACCCCCCGCAGCCGACCCACCCCTAGACCCTCATCGCAGCCTCGGACCACGGCCAGCATCCCCAGGGCCACTAGGAGGCCCGAGCTGACCATCCCCCCCACGGTAACCCCCTCGGCAGCCAGCCTCGCCACAGCGGCCTTCAGCGAATCTGGCAGCGCCGACGGGAGCGGTGACGAGGAGCTGAGCGGGGATCTAGAGGCCAGTGGGGCCGGCTCGGGGGGTGAGTGCGGGCTCCGGGACGTGGGGGGCAGGGCCCAGGGAAGCTGCACCAGCAGCTGGGCTCAGACCACCCCTCCCCAGGACCTGAGCCCCCCGAGGGTGGCAGCGAGGTGACCCCTGGGCCACCCATCGAGAGGGCTTCCTGCTACAACTCCCCTTTGGGCTGCTGCTCAGATGGCAAGACGCCCTCGCTGGACGCAGAGGGCTCCAACTGTCCCGGTGAGTGGGTGGCCAGGCTGGGGTGCAGCGTGAGGAGTGGCCTGGACCCGCGGGGGTGCCGTCTCCTCCGGAAGCAGGCTGCCCAGGAGGCAGGCACCCGGGCCTTCTGGGGTTCCAACCTGAGCACACACGTGTGCACGGTCTGGGGGATTCAGCACACTCGCATACACGTGAGGTCCTGGGCCCCGCGCACACGTGGGTGCCTAGGACCCCCTGGCAACCTGTCTCTCCTGTTGCACGCCGGCCTGGGTGCTGCCCACGGAGTTTGCCTGGTAACTGCCAGCCGCCTGCCCTGGCTCCCACTAACCTCATGACCATCTGACTAATCGCCACCTGCCTACACCGTGTGGCTTGCTGCTGGGGCCGTGCCCAGGGCCGGCCTGGAGGCCGGACGGTGCCAGGCAGGGCCTCACTGCGCCCTCCCCCACAGCCACCAGGGCGTTCCAGGGTGTGCTGGAGCTCGAGGGGGTCGAGGGGCAGGAGCTGTTCTACACGCCCGAGATGGCCGACCCCAAGTCCGAGCTGTTTGGGGAGACAGCCAGGAGCATCGAGAGTGCGGTGAGTTCGTGGTGTTGGGTGGGGCGCAGCTCTCTCCTCCCAGGCCCGACCCAGAGAAGTGCTGGGGTTGGGGGGCCGACGGCCGCCCTGGGCAGCCCCTGGAGCCTCCCTCCCCCCCACAGCTGGACGACCTGTTCCGGAACTCAGATGTCAAGAAGGACTTCTGGAGTGTCCGCCTGCGGAACCTGGGGCCTGGCGACTCTGTCCGGGCCATTGTGGACGTGCACTTTGACCCCAGTGAGCCCCCCCCCCCCCCCCCGCCCGGTCCCTCCCAGGGGGTGGGGGCTGCACCGGTCTCCTGTGCTCAGTGTCCCTCCTCCCCAGCCACGAGCCTCAGGGCGCCCGACGTGGGCCGCGCGCTCCTGCGCCAGATCCAGGCCTCCCGGCGCCGGCCCCTGGGGGTGCGGCGGCCGCTGCAGGAGCACGTGCGCTTCATGGACTTCGGTGAGCGCCCGCCGTCGTGCACCCAGCTTGCCCCTCCCCTCCCAGCAGCCTCCCCCTGTGCCCTGCGGCCTGGCACCCTGACCGTCCCCCTGCCCACAGACTGGCTTCCTGCCTTCTTCACGGGAGCGACCACGGGAGCCACCCCGGCCGCGGCCACGGCCAAGGCCACCACCGCCGCCTCTTCCGCGGCCCCTAGGGCCCTCCGCCCCAGCCACACCAGCCGGCCCATGAGCAGGACCACAGGCCCCCCCACCACACGCCGGCCCCCCACCACGGGCCCCAGCCGTGTGCCCGGACGCCGGCCCCTGCCCCCAGGCGCCCAGCAGCCCCGGAGGCCCTGTGACTCCCAGCCCTGCCTGTATGGGGGGACCTGCCAGGACCAGGACGCGGGGGGAGCCTTCACCTGCAGCTGCCCAGCCGGCAGGGGGGGCGCTGTCTGTGAGAATGGTAAGGGCCCTCCTGGCTGGGGAGGCACTAGGGGCCAGGGCTGGGGGCTGAGGGGTCAGTAGGGTAAAGGGGTGGGTTTCGGGCTGCAGGACGGCTGTGGGCTGGTCCTGTCCCCCCACCTGGTGTCCGTCCCGCAGCTCTGCACCCCTCAGTGCCGTCCTTCGGGGGCCGCTCCTTCCTGGCCTTCCCCACGCTCCGTGCCTACCACACGCTGCGCCTGGCGCTGGAGTTCCGGGCGCTGGAGCCCCAGGGGCTGCTGCTCTACAACGGCAACGCCCGCGGCAAGGACTTCCTGGCGCTGGCGCTGCTGGGCGGCCGCGTGCAGCTCAGGTGGGTGTGGCCGTGGCAGGGGGGCGGCCGGCCATGGGCCTGGCTCCCTTGGGCTGTCCTGAGCACCCGCTTCCCCTCGGCACCCCAGGTTCGACACCGGCTCCGGGCCTGCAGTGCTGACCAGCACGGTGCCCGTGGAGCCCGGCCGGTGGCACCGCCTGGAGCTGTCCCGGCACTGGCGCCAGGGGACGCTCTCGGTGGACGGCGAGCCCCCCGTCCTGGGCCAGAGCCCCAGTGGCACTGATGGACTCAACCTGGACACAGACCTCTTTGTGGGGGGCGTCCCTGAGGACCAGGCCGCTGTGTGAGCATTCGGGGGGCCCTGACCCCAGCCTGACCTCTGGCCTTGTTCCTGGTCAGCTTGTTGGCTGAGTCCAGGAGGCCTAATTTACCCGAGTGGGGGGCGGGGGGACCACGCTGTGACCCTGACCTCAGCCCCAGCCCCGGCCCTGCTCCCGACTCTGCCCCATCTGGGGGTGGCACCCTGAGGCCTAGTGTGACCCCCAAGGAGGGGTGGGCTGACCTTTAGTCCTGACCCCGACCCTCCGCCCACCCCTGTGTTGGGGGGTGGGACGCCGTCCTGACCGCGACCCTCCGCCCACCCCGGTGTTGGGGTGCAGGAAATCGCTCTGACCCCGCCCGTTCTGGCACAGGGTGCTAGAGCGGACATCCGTCAGCGTCGGCCTCAGGGGCTGCATCCGCCTGCTGGACGTGAACAACCAGCGCCTGGAGCTCGGCAGCTGGCGCGGGGCCACCGGGAGCGCCCACCTGGGCGAGTGTGCGGCCCACCCCTGCCTGCCCAGCCCCTGCCTCGGGGGCGCCCCGTGCCAGGCCCTGGAGGGCGGCAGGTTCCACTGTCAGTGTCCCCCCGGCCGATTTGGTGAGGACGGGGCCGGGGCCGGGGGACAGGGAGCACCTGTGTGACTGCGGCCGGGGCTCAGCCTCCTGGGACCCCACTGTCTCCGTCCAGGCCCCACCTGTGCCGAGGAGAAGGACCCCTGTGACCCCAACCCCTGCCACGGGGCGGCCCCCTGCCGTGTGCTGCCCGGGGGCGAGGCTGCCTGCGAGTGCCCCCTGGGACGAGGGGGTGCTCTCTGCCAAACAGGTGGGGGGCCGGGCCTCAGGGCCGGAGGGAGGTCAGGTCGCACGTTTGGGTTTAGGGCAGTGATGGCGAACCTTTTGAGCTCGGGGAGTCAGCATTTTGAAAAACCCTAACTTAGCTCTGGTGCCGTGTCACATAAAGAAATTTTTTGATATTTGCAACCATAGTAAAACAAAGACTTCTATTTTTGATATTTATTTTATATATTTAAATGCCATTTAACAAAGAAAAATCAACCCAAAAAAAGTTTGCATGTCACCTCTGACCCGCGTGTCACAGGTTCGCCATCGCTGGTTTAGGTTCTGCTCCCGGTTGGGGTTGGGGTTGGGGCTAGGCCGAGGCTCACAGGGCGGTGGGGGTGCAGGCACCCCAGAGCCAGGCCCAGGCCCCGTGTGGCCTCCTCTCTCCTCCACAGAGCGGAGCGGCCCCGGGCCCTTCCTGGCTGACTTCCGCGGGGCCTCCTACCTGGAGATGAAAGGCCTGCACACCTTCGAGCCGGACCTCGGGTCAGTGGGGCGGGCGGTGCAGGCAGCAGTCCCTCGGCCCCGGCCGCCCGTGAGGGTCAGCATGCCCTCCCTGACCGCCCCCCCCCGGGCCCCAGGGAGAAGATGGCGCTGGAGGTGGTGTTCTTGGCGCGCAGCCCCAGCGGGCTGCTGCTCTACAACGGGCAGAAGACGGACGGCCGGGGGGACTTCGTGTCGCTGGCCCTGCGTGACGGACACCTGGAGTTCCGCTACGACCTGGGCAAGGGGGCGGCGGCCATCAGGTGCGCGGGGGGCGAGGCTGGGGCTCGGGCGGCGCCGTCGGCCTGCGTGGCACTCACGGTGCCCTCTCCCCAGGAGCAAGGAGCCCGTGGCCCTGGGCGCCTGGACCAGGGTCTCCCTGGAGCGGAACGGCCGCAAGGGCGCCATGCGTGTGGGCGACGGGCCCCGCGTGCTGGGGGAGTCCCCGGTGAGTGTCCCGGCTGTGGCCCCCCCCCCCCCCCCCCGCTCCTCCTCCTCCAGGCGGTGTGGCGGCCCCCCACGCGACTCTCACTGAACTGTTTTCTCTCCCGTCTGTCCTGTGCCTCTGTCTGTCCGCTCTCTGCTCTCTGGCCTTGCTCTGCAACCCCCACCCCGCTCTCCGGATGTCAGAAATCCCGAAAGGTACTGGGCTCCCCGCTGGCTCACCTGCTCGTCTCTGCGCCTCCCTCCCTCCCTCCTGCATAGAGTAGCCCCTCCCCCACTAAGCCCCCATCGGCCACGTCTGGGATTAACTGCCTCCTAGCTAGGCCGGAGGGCGAGGGGGCCTGGCGCACGGGCGCAGCGCCCAGTTCCTGCCCCACGGGCGGCCCCACAGCCCCTCACCCAGCGCCTCCCGCAGGTGCCGCACACCGTCCTCAACCTGAAGGAGCCACTGTACCTGGGGGGAGCCCCCGACTTCAGCAAGCTGGCCCGGGCTGCCGCTGTGTCCTCCGGCCTTGATGGCGCCATCCAGCTGGTGTGTGGGGGCTCTGGGGGAGCTGTAGGGCAGAGGCAGTGGGCAGGACAAGGCTCAATTCCCTGTCCCCCCAGGTCGCCCTGAAAGGCCATCAGCTGCTGACCCGGGAGCACGTGGTGCGGGCGGTGGACGTCTCCTCCTTCACAGACCACCCCTGCACCCAGGCCTCGGGCCACCCCTGCCTCAACGGGGCCTCCTGCCTCCCCCAGGAGGCCTCCTACACCTGCCTGTGCCCCGGGGGCTTCTCGGGGCTCCACTGCGAGAAGGGTGAGCACGGCGGCCGGGCTGAGGCTGCAGGTGTCGGACCCCGAGGCGCCCCTGACCCTGACTGTCTCTCAGGGCTGATAGAGAAGTCGGCAGGGGACCTGGACACACTGGCCTTTGATGGACGGACCTACATCGAGTACCTCAACGCTGTGACGGAGAGGTAACGCCCCCTCTGCTCCGGCTGTCCATCCATCTGTCCTGTCTGCGCCATGCAGGGCCAGACGCTGGCCATGCCACACCCGCCCTCGGCTCCGTGACCAGGAGGGCAGGCCCGCTCGGCCGGCCCACTGCCCCCTCCTCCCTCCTGCCTCTCACCTTCTCTGTCTCTTTGTTTCCAAGCGAACTGACCAATGAGATCCCAGCGTAAGTAGCACCTGGGTTCCTCCACCTCACTTCACTCGCACATTCTGTGCCCATTCTCTGTTCCTTGCAACTGAGGCAGAGGCGGGACTTCCCTCCCCGATGGAGGAGGATGGGCGGGGCTGTGTGTCCTGCACGGGCTGTTTCCCAGCATGGAAGTGGGCGCCACCCCTTCCGGGATGTGTGCTGAGGGCGGCCACCATCCACCCCTCAGCTGCTGCTCTCACTACATGAGCATCTGTGGGCGTGCGTGTGTGTGTGTGTGTGTGTGTGTGTGTGTGATGCTTCCACATTTGCGCTGGGACTTCCCGGCCCTCCCAGCAGGAGCCCTCGGTCTCCATTCTCCTCACCCCATTGCCTGCCTCTGACCTCTGCTCCCAGCCTGGGCCATGCGCACCAGCTCTGTCTGCACATGTGTGTTGCACGTGTGTCATTGCCGACTCTCTGAGGGGTGGGGCAGGTGGCTAGGGTCCTCTTCCGAGGGTGCTGGCTCCTCCTGCCTCCACTATTGGAGAGGGGGCGTGGGGGGCCGCCGCGGGTCCCCCCTGCACCACAGCCTTTGTGCCTGCTCACCTGCCGCCCTCTCTTCCTGCTTCTAAGCCCCGAAGCTCCAGATCCCGGGGCCCTTCATAGGTAAGCACGTGGCCTCAGCCCTGCCGCCGGCCATCGCTCTGAGCTGTCCCTCTGTCTGTCCACCTCTCGTGTCTGCCGGGCTGGCCCTGCTCCCCACCGTCCGTCCCTCAGCCATCTGCCCACTGTTGGCGTCCGCCCCCTCCTTGCCCACCCGCCCCTGCGGCCCTTGGGGAGGCCTGACCAGCCCTCTGCCCCCAGCGAGAAGGCGCTGCAGAGCGACCACTTCGAGCTGAGCCTGCGCACCGAGGCCACGCAGGGGCTGCTGCTGTGGAGTGGCAAGGCCACGGAGCGGGCCGACTACCTCGCGCTGGCCATCGTGGACGGCCGCCTGCAGCTGACCTACGACCTGGGCTCCCAGCCCGTGGTGCTGCGCTCCACCGTGCCCGTCAACACCAACCGCTGGCTGCGGGTCAGGGCGCACAGGTCAGGGGGGGCTGAGGACCAGGGCGGGAGGGGCCTGGACCTGCCCTCAGGGCACACGGGGTCCCTGGTGGCTGCCTGGCCCGAGATCAGAGCTGGGGACGGGGAGGAAGGGGGACCCGCAGTCAGAGCTGGTGAGGGGGAGGGAGGGGGACCCCCAGTCAGAGCTGGGGACGGGGAGGGACGGGGACCCGCAGGTGCTCGGGGAGCCTGCCCTGAAAGGCAGCACAGCCTGGCTCACACGACCCGACCCGACCCGACTCCCAGGCCCTCTCCTGGGGTCAGTGCCACCTTGTCCTGGCCCCTGGGGGTGATGTGATGGGGCTCAGGACCTGGAGGCGGCAGGGTGGGCCTCGAGTCACCTGATGGCTCCCCCCCCCTCACCCCAGGGAACAGAGGGAAGGCTCCCTGCAGGTGGGCAACGAGGCCCCCGTGACCGGCTCCTCCCCGCTGGGCGCCACGCAGCTGGACACAGATGGAGCCCTGTGGCTGGGTGAGTGAGTGGGGAGGTCGGGGGGGTGTCTCAGGACCTGAGGGACAGACCCCAGGGTGGTATGAGTCCAGGAGGCCAGAACGTCTCACTGGTCACCAGGTCCCCCCTGGGCACGAACAGGCCCCAGACCACTCACCTGGTCATCGGTGCTGGTGGGTCCCTTTGCCCACCGCGTCCCGGCCTGCCATCCGGGAGTCCCAGCGGTGGCCGCCTGTGCTTGCTCTGCAGGAGGCCTGGAGAGACCGCCCGTGGGCGCAGCCCTGCCCAAGGCCTACGGCACCGGCTTCGTGGGCTGCCTGCGGGACGTGGTGGTGGGACGGCGGCCGCTGCACCTGCTAGAAGACGCCGTCACCAGGCCCGAGCTCCGGCCCTGTCCCGCCCCGTGAGCCTGCTGGAGCCCGCCCCACACCCTGCTGTAATTATTTTATATTTTTGTAAACTTGTTGCTTTTTTTATATGATTTTCTTGCCTGCGTTTTGGCCGGAGGAACTCTCGGCCTGGCCTCCCTCCTGTCAAGGCAGGCGAGCCGCAGAGGCAAACTCAGGCCGCGGGACTCGGGGCGGACGTGGCCACAGGGCAGGCGTGGCTCTGACAGCAGCCTCAGGACACACCCTCCACCCGGGCCACCGTGTCCCAGGCCCTCCTGCTGGGCTTCCCTGCCTGCCAGCAGACCCCCCAACACATCGAGCTCCACCCTGCCAGTCTGGGTCCCCAGAGCTGGGATCTGCTGCCGGATGCAGGGGGCCTTCCCAGGCCTCCCCTGAGCTGGACCTCGTCCTGCTGGGAGGGGCCAGCCTCACCAGGACTGGCCTCGAGCCTGGCGGCCCCTCCTGGGCCTCCTGGGCCAATACTGTGACTTAGAGATGACGTTCCTGCTGGGGCCACCGGCATCCCTGCTCTCGCTGTGTCTGCCAGCCCCAGGTGCTGGAGGCAGAGGCCAGGCCCAGGACTGTTGGGGGCCCTCACCTCCCTGGCCCTGCCCACCAGGGACGTGGCTGTGTCCCATCCCGACACCTCAGGGCCCCGTGAGGAACCCTGAGCGGCAGTGGGCCAGTGTGGTGTGTTGGTGTCCGTTGCCTGCTCGCCTGGGCAGCCAGCGTCCAGGCCTGACCACCAACCAGAGTTCTCAGTGCATTGAGTTTACTTGACGTCTGGGGAGGGGGCTCATCGTGCCTGAGGGCAGCTGAGGACACCCCACGGCAACCCTCTCCCGTCCTGGTGGGAGTGGGGTGTCCTCGTTCGAGAATGACGGGGGCCGGCCGGGTGTCTGACCGAGGCCCAGGAGTGGGTGCTGGGACGGCAGAGACGGCTGCAAAGCCAGAAACGCCTTAAATTGCACCATCGTGTCATCCCAACCAGCCTGCCCCCTCCTGCACCTGGTACTGGGGTGTGGCAGCCCAGCTTCCACAGCTGGGCTGGGATGTCAGGCCCACAGGCTGAAGGGAGCCCCGTATGTCACACTACTAACACCTCCAGTCTGTCAATCACCATGAAATAAAGTCTGAACATGTTAAAGGTGCGTCCGTCTGTGACCCCCCTGTACCCACTCCCCCCCGTCACCCCTTCCCCCCCCCCCCCCACCCTCCCGCTGGCTCCTCTCCTGGGGCTTTTCTTAGGCCTCGGGTGCCCTTATGGCCTCCGAGCTTCAGACGGAGGGGGCCCTGCCCTGGGGTGGGGCCCTTTGGTGAGGAGACCCCTGCAGTGAGAGTGTGCACACTTGTGCATGAGCTGGTGGCCTTGCAGGCAGCACCCCACACACTGCCCTGGTGTGTGTGCATGTGCGCATGGTCAGCCACTTCTGTGTCTGAGCACAGGGTGGGCAGGAGCTGAGGGGAGGGTGGGGGTGGCAGGGGACCCTCTCCACTGGCCCACCCTGTGCTCAGACACCCTCGGCCCGAGGGGCTGGGCCTGTGGAGCGGCTGTGAGCCTCGAACCAGGAGCAGGAAAGGGAGGGCTGTGTGGCCTCCTCCCAGGTCACTGTTTTGCCGGCTGGCACGGCTCGTGTTTCAGCATCAACCTAAGAACCCGGAGGTCAGGGTTCAATTCCCGTTCGGGACACGTGCTCGGGCTGTGGGCTCCATCCCCAGTTGGGGGCCTGCAGGAGGCAGCCGATCCACGATTCTCATCATGGATGTTTCTATCCCCCTCTCCCTTACTCTCTCAAATGAATCAATAAAAAAGAACTGGGTGTTTTAATTTCATTTTGTGTCGATAGAAAAAACAAAATAAATAAAAACTCCCATAAGCTCCGGCGACGCACCTGCTGACGGTGTCCACATGCTCATCCCCGAGTCACTAACGGCTTGTTCAGGGGAGCGCGGGGCTCCCAGGCGGCGGGAGGGGCTGCAGCGGAGGAGCAGCTGTGGGCGGGTGCAGGGTGGACAGGCCACTGGTCAGGTGGTGGGACCCTCCCATCTGCACTCTCCAGGAAGGCGGTGCCCAGAGAGCAGGACCCGTCCGTTACGATCAGGCCGAGGTGTGCGGAAGCACCCTGAGGGGCCCCTGTGAGCCCCGCAGTCTGAAGCTCAGCGCCCTCAAAAGCCTGCTTTTATCTAAACTTCCTTGGTGACGGCCAGACGTGTTGGCGCAGCACCTTTAGGGGAGGGGGGTGGGGTGTGGCAGGGTTTGGGCGAGGGGGCAGAGATGACCTGGTGCAGGTGAGCACCCAGCAGCCGATGCCGACGCCAATACCCCAGGAATGTGCTTGGGGGATGCAGGTGAGATGCCCCTGGACATCCTGCCCTTCAGGCCCTGTTGCCCCCAGGCCTGGCGCCCTGACACGGCCCCCACACCAGGCCAGACACCTGGAGGCCAGCCTCAGTGCAGGCCGGTGGAAAGGACGGTTTCTGAGGGAGCTGGGCCTGGGGAGGTCAGAGGTGCTGTGACCCAGGGGGCAGCAGGTGTGCGGACAGTGGCAGGCCCTCCCTCTCCCCACACCCAGACCCTCTGCCCTGCTCCAGGCTCCCTCTGGCTTCCAGAGATGTGTCCCCTCCCTGGGCCTGACACCAAGGGCAGAGCAGGGGGGTCTCCAGGAGGGTCTGGTCTCCCCTCTAGTCTCGGGCCCTTGACCCTGCGTACCTGAGGCAACAGCCCTCTCTCAACCAGCTCCCCCCCATCCCCAAGGCCTCGGGGCTGGGACCCCAGCAGGGAAGTGTATGAGCTTCCTGCCTCATGGAGAGTGTGACCGAAACTGGCGATCTGGCTCCCTGGGAGTGCGTGCGTGCACACTCACACACACACACACACACACACACACACACACACACACTCACATACACACACACACACTCACACACACACTTACACACACTCACACACACATGCTCACACATACACACACTGACACACGCACTCACACACACATGCACTCACACACACATACACACATGCTCTCACACACACTCACACACGCATACACACACTGACACACGCATACACACGCGCACTCACACACATGCACTCACACACGCACACGCACTCACACACACACACTCACACACACAGTCACACACACACTCACACACACAACACACACACACATACACACACTCACACACGCGCGCGCACACGCGCACACACACACACGCACTCACACACACACACACACACACTCCCACGCACACACTCACACACACGCACACACATACACACACACGCGCACACACACACACGCACTCACACACATACACACACGCACTCACACACACACACACTCCCACGCACACACTCACACACACGCACACACACACACACACTCACACACATACACACACCCACTCACACACGTACACACACACACACTCACACACACACACTCACACACTCGCGCGTGTGCATGAACTATGATGCTAGCGTGCATGTGCCTGTCAGGGGAGCCACACGGGTGTAGGACACGTGTCACTGCTTCCTGGCGCTTGGCACACCCCTCTTAGGCTTGGTGAGGGCGGAGGTCACAGGAAGGGTCGCCCTATGACCCGTGACCCCTAGATCACTGAGGGGTGGACAGGGCCTGATCTGCGGGGCACAGGGGGCTTCTCTGCCTGAGCAGCGTCCTCAGCCACGGCAGACACGGCCGGTGCCCCCTCCCCCAGCAGCGCCTGGCGGGAGGGCCCGGGACCTAGGGGTGCTGTGAGGAGGCGGCTGGCACCGGCTCTGCAGGGTCGGCTCCTCTGAGGCTCAGGAGAGCGGGAAGGAGCCGTGGAGAGTCGGCCTGCGGAGCCAAGGGCCCGTTAGGTCCGGTCAAGGGCGCGGACCTCGGGTGCAGGCTCCTCCCGCGCGGGCCCTGGTTGGGGGTGAGCAGGAGGCAACCAGTGATGTGTTTCTCTCACATTGATGTTTATCTGTCTTTCCCTCCTCCACTCTCTGAAAATCAATGGAAAAATATCCTGGGTGAAGATTAGCAAACACACACGATAGTGGGAAGGAGGTGGGTCTCTAAGAACATCTGATCCGAGGTTTACCATCCAGGAGGAGGGTCCCCAGGGCCCAGGGGAGCTGTCTGGGTGCCCTGCCCCCCCCCCCCCCCCCGTTGTCTGCAGCCCCGGCAGGGCAGGCTCTGGGGAGGCTGTCTGTCCCGGAGGACTGGGCACATGGGGGCGGAGGACTGGGCACATGGGGACGGAGGGCTGGGCGCGCGGGGGCGGAGGGTTGGGCACATGGGGACGGAGGGCTGGGCGCGCGGGGGCGGAGGGCTGGGCACATGGGGGCGGAAGGCTGGGGGCGGGGACGGTGCCTACACCCGGGTGCGGCCTTGGCCTTGGCTGTTCCCCGCGGAAGAGCCTGGGGACTGTCCTGGGAGCTGAGGGTGGCGACGGGGGCGGGGGGGGGGGGGGCCGGCAACAGTGGCCGCCCTTCCAGGCGCCACGACCAGGGGCCCCACATCCGGGTCCAGAGCCAGGCGACTCTCGGGGTCTGTGTGGACGCCGGCCAAGCCCCGCACCGGCCAGCGAGGCGGGACCGGCTCTGCCAGCAGACGGGGCGCTCAGGGCGGCCGGGACCCACGACCGAGCAGAGAGCAGCGGCCTCTGCGTGTGCGGCCCGGGCGAGCGTGTCCCAGGGCAGGGTCTTGGGCGCCCTGCACCCCCAGCTCCCACGGCTGCAGCAAAGCCGAGGGGCCGCCCGCCCGCCCGCCCGCCCGCCCGGGCCCGGCACCCGATCAGGGGCGAGCGGCACCGGGCCCTCAGCGGCCTCGCCCCTGCCCTTCTGGCTGGAGATGGGGGCGCAGGTCCTCCCAGCCTCGGCTTCCCCACCGGCACTGCGAGGCCGGAGGGTGCAGCCCCGGAAAGGGGGCGGGGCGGGGAGAGGGCGCCTTCCCCTGCTTTGCTGAGGACCAGGCTGCCACCTGGTGGCCACCCCGGGCCCTGCAGACCGAGCGGGGGAGGGTCAGCGAGGGGCAGGACAGCGGCCTGGGTGGCCCGCCTCTGCCTGTCGCTGTGCCCCTCTCCTGGCCAGGTGTGCCCCCCAGTCTCACCTGTGCGCCCAGCCCTGCTCTGGGTCCGGGGGTCCCCCAGTCTCACCTGTGCTCCCAGCCCTGCTCCGGGTCCGGTGGGCACCCGTCTGGCAAGGATGCTGAGAAGCTGCTGATGGACAAGGACTGTCGGGCCCGAGCTGGTGTGGCTCAGTGGATAGCGCGTCGGCCGGCAGACTGAAGGGTCCCGGGTTCGATTCTAGTCAAGGGCTCAGGCCCGCTGCGGTTCGGTCCCCAGTGGGGGGCGTGCAGGAGGCAGCCCATCAATGACTCTCATCATTGATGTTTCTCTCTCCCTCTCCCTTCCTCTCCGAAATCAATAAAAATATATTAATAATAGGCCGAAACCGGTTTGGCTCAGTGGATAGAGCGTCGGCCTGCGGACTGAGGGGTCCCAGGTTCGATTCCGGTCAAGGGCATGTACCTGGGTTGCGGGCACATCCCCAGTGGGAGACGTGCAGGAGGCAGCTGGTCGATGTTTCTCTCTCATTGATGTTTCTCTCTATCCCTCTCCCTTCCTCTCTGTGAAAAATCAATAAAATATATTTTAAAAATATATATATATATTAATAATAAAATGTACAATTCCATTGTTTAAGGAAGAAAAAAGGGGATGTCGGGATACCTCCTGGTGCGGGAGAGTCAGAGCCAGAGTCAGAGCCTGGGGTATGCTGTCGGCGCTCACAGCCGGCCCGGGGGACGCGGCCACCTGTCACCCACACTCCCCTCTGCTCCGGGAGGAGGCACGGCAGGTGGGTGTGACTCCCGGGAGGCGAGGTGGCCCCACAGCCTCGGGGAGTAGGATGTTGGAGACGGGGAGGCGGATGGAGAGTCACAAGAAGTTGGTGAAGTTGGGGCCATGGTGCCCCACCCGCCATGAAGCATGGGTTCCAGAGTGGGCTGCTTCCCGGGGCCACGCCCTGCCCAGGAGAAAGGGTGCAGGGCAGAGGGGCAGGGGGGCAGAGGGGCAGGAGGGCAGAGGGGCAGAGGGACAAGGGGGCAGGGGGACAAGGGGGCAGAGGGGCAGGGGGCAGGGGGGCAGGGGGCA